AAAAAAAAAAAAAAAAAAAAAAAAAGCTCACTGACTCCAATCTATCTATTTACAGCTGAGATTAAGCCCTTCTGGTGCGTGTTACAGACCGTGCTCATTCGGAACAGCCCAATAAACGCTGCAGCGTTTGGGCTCCCTTCAATTCCGAATCCTCCTCCAGCCCTATACACAGAAAGAACCCAACCCGCCGTATAGATATGCACATATCTATCCCGATTTTCACCCAAATGTAAAATGTATGCGGTGATTTTTAAGGGATAGTAAATTTCTAGTTTCGAGGCAAAGCCGGGGGCGATGTAAAACCTTTTTGATGTTGCAGGAACTCGTTCAACTGGACTGTCTGCCATTTCTGTTAAAGTTCAACTTACGTTCCTTCCTAAATAGACTCACACTTCCCAGAGCAGCCCCCCCAATCCCCATTACACGCACACACACACTTTTGTTTTAAGAACAGATTGCATTTAAGCGCCTGAGACGCCCCTGTAATCGCGTTCTCAGTTAGAAATCGGAAAGAAAAAGGAGGAGAAGGAGGAGAAACAGTTTTTTTTTTCTTTTCTTTTCTTTTTTTCTTTTAAGAATCCTTCTTTCTCTTTCAAACCAACCCACAAAAAATATTCTTTTGAAAGCTTCCCCCTACGGAATGACCCGGAGCGCATCGGCGGGTTAGGATCGCTCTGCCTCACCCCACCTCTCCCACGGCCGTGGAGGGACGCACGACGCTTCCATCTCCCCTTCCAAAAACCAGAGAGGGGAAAAAAAAAAACCGACATTCCCCCACCTCGCAGAACGGGAAGGGAGACGTTTTGTCGCCCGCTGCTGCGGCACAGACAATGGCCGGGCTGTGCTGGGGACGGGGAAAGCTCGGCGGGTCTGGGGGCTGCCGGGGGACCCGCACGCCCACCGGGCTGCGATGCCGGTTGATAACGAGCCTGAACGCAGCTCGGAAAGCCGAAGACATTGCGGCTCTTTGCCATCCTTACTCCGGCTGCGAAAAGTCGGAGCAGTGCCCTCCCTCTGCGCGTTTTTCTTTCTCTCTCTCTCTCTCTTTTTTTTTTTTTTTCCCCCTCTTTTCTTTTTAACTCTGACTGCTTTCCCGATGGAAGTCCGAAGCGATGCGGGACCGCTTTGGGGCTGTTGCAGCTGTGCGGCCCCGACGGCGCTTTTCCGGGCCGGACGGTATCGCCCAGAGCCCTTCCAACACCCCCAACCAACAGCTGTAAGAATCCCTTCCCCAATCCTACGAACACCAGCATCACCAAATCCAAATTAAAAACAAAACAGCAACAACAACAACAAATCATTGACGAAGCGGCAAACCTTTCCCTCCACTTAATCATAATCATTATTATTATTATTATTATTATTATTATTATTGTTTGTTCCCATTTCGGAGCCGATCCAGCGCGCTGCTTTACTTACAAGGAACGCATTCGCGGAGTCGCTTTGGGAAAGATCCGGGCAAAATTAAGAACCGTTTGGCTCTGCTGTGATCCTCCTCCCCCCCAACACACACACCGTCCCCTCCCGCCTCGCTCTGCTTTTGGATCTCAAAAAAATCCCGAGGAGGTCTCTAAAATCGAGCCCAGAACTTTCCGTGCCCGCTTTGGATGGATCGGTTCGGCTGTGTGTACTCAAAGACGTGAGAGAATGTGTGTGTGCTTCGTCATTAGTGCTGGAGGATGAGGACGCGCACATCTTATCTAACGGTGTATGCGTGTAAAAAGAGTCGTAAAAAAACGCCATCCGGTCGTGAAAACGAGAAAAAGACAATATATCTATATATCCAAATTCAGGTAGAGCTTAGGTTGGGATCGGAAATTAAGAAACTAGGACAAAAAGAAAAGAAAGAGATGCATCCCGTCCCCGAATAACAGATCGCGTTTCTCTTCTAATTTCATCTTTTTTCCCTCTTTCTCGACATTTGCCCGTATTTAATCGAATTACATTTAATTCGGGCTCTAAACAACCCAACTCTTGCCTTTAAGTTGCCTCATTCCAACCCTCAGATCGTTTCTTTGATGTTTTAAATCGCATCAAACAGCTTTTCCACGAAAGAAAAAAAAAAAAGAGAGAAAAGGAAAAAAAAAAAAAAAGTTTAGGACTTGGCATGCCGGCTACAAATTTGCAAATAAATAAGCATTTAAGCATTTACTCTCTGTTTCCCATCTCTATTAGTGCGTGCGGGTGTCTGCGTCTCTATATCTGCATGTAAGCAGATGTAGAGCTATATATGTATTATATAGTGTGCCTCTATGCAGCTAGATGTATATTTAAATATACATATACTCTCTTACTCATATGCATATTATATACTCACCTCATAGATATCTTCGTACTTGACATTTTCAACCAGTTTCCAGAGCATGATGGCAGGCTGTTCTCTAGGAGGTGAGTGCATTCATGTGAAGAGCAGATGTCTGGATTCTCAGTACTTCTCTGTCTGTAATGATCCATCTATAATTGGAAATGGGGGACAGACACCAAATCCGACGTTCCTCTTCCATCGCAACTTATATCTGTTGTCTGAAACAATAGGCTGCAGAAGTAAACCTCAATCGGATAGTAAAAACATTATCTGTTACATAGTTACATATATCTACAGACATAGATGTGACTATATATCTGCATATACACACATATATAGACTTCTGTGCAGGCAGATAAAGACATAAATGCAGTTTCACACACGTATACAGGCACACATACACACTTATATCTCCAAACATATAACTTTTCCCATGTGCAGACATATATAAAGTGACCCATTTAAGTATGTAAATTATATATATTCTCTCTTATATATGGATTTACATAGGCACATGTATACTACACGTTACATATGCATATATGGATGCAAACCTGATCCATTTATATTGGACTATATAGAAAAGCATATGTATGTATTTCTTTATACACCTACCCTTATATACATGAACATACAGTGATCAAAGATGAATATTATGTAGTGCATTTACCCGCTATTTTTATAGAGGGCAGGATGGACAGATAGATAGGCACATAGATAGATAGACAGATAGATGGATAGACAGACAGACAGACAGACAGATAGATAGATAGATAGATAGATAGATAGAAAGATAGATGGATAGATACATGGATAGATGGATAGATGGATAGATGGATACATGGATAGATGGATACATGGATAGATAGATAGATAGATAGATAGATAGATAGATAGATAGATTTACAGATAGATAGACAGACACACAGAATGGAGAAATTAATGCATATTTTTTCAACCCTATTTAAACTAAAATAAAGGACGGGTTGTCTCTGCACCAGGCGGTTCATCATTTGCAATGAGATATTACTCTTTCTCCCGCATGCAAGATGCTTTTATTTACATGTCCAGAAATTATCCTCTCCCATGCAGGAAAGCACCAAAGCAGCGTCTCCCCAACACATCCGAGCCAAACTAAGAGGAAGACATTTAGATCAATGGTTTTCCACTGAAAGACTTATACTTTGGACTCGGACTGTCTATTTTAGAACTTGGAAACACTTTCCCTGCGAAAAAACGGAGAAGAAAAAGAGTTTCGCAAGCCCTCCTCTGCACGCATTTCAATAGCGATTAACTACTTTTTGCTGAACGGTGAAAGCAGAGTTGGGTCTGTGCGGTTCCAGGGCAACCCTCGGTTTGGAAGGGGAAAGGAGGAGTTGGACCGTTTGTAACCTTTATTTTTTCTTTTTTTTTTCCTTTTTTTTTTTTTTCTTTTTTTTTTTTTTTCCACCCCCAGGCAAACCTTCGCTCGCATTGTCCCTTTTTAACACGTCGTACCGCATAGAGGCGACTTATTCTGCAGGCGATCAGAGCCCATCTCTGTCTCCGAAAGGGAACAATTGGGCTTTGCGGTGGGCTGGTGCATCAGGATGGGGGGGGGAGGGGGGGAAGAAGGAGTGAATCAGCATAAGAGACACATGCAAAGACAGAGAGAAAGGTGTTTCTAAATTCAAGGTCCTGATTCCTACCAATCTTCGTTATTCTGCACGGGATCCTATGGGGGTAGTGCAGTGTCCTTTGCACTTTCAGAGATCCTACTGGTAAAGAATGCTTTTATAGGTGGGTAATCTCGAAAAAGAGGAGAACTTCATCAGGAGACACTTGTGGTGCCGTTTGGTTGGCTGGTGGGAAGGGTGGGCTTGTCTCTTTGTGCTCCCTTTGGCCTCCAAGCAGGATGAATACATTCACCCCTCTTTTCTCCACACTTTGCATCCTCCCTCACTGTTCCTAAGCTCACATCTTCCCCAAACTCAACCCGCAAAAGGCAGGAGACAAACAACAGCCAGATATTGCAGCAGGAGCTGGGCAGCGCTCTCGCTGAAAGTTATTAAAACAGATGCGAGTAGGTTTTCTTTCTTCCTATTTTTTTTTTCTCCCTTAGCACAGCTACCGCACAGAGGAGGAGGAGAAAAGAGCACATCCCTGAGTGGGTTGGACAGTGCAGCTGAAGCAATAGTGCTAAAAAATGCTGGGAAGGAGAAAAGAGCTACGATGTGTTGAGATCCCCACACAGCCACCCCACAGCGCTCTCTTTGCTCCTACAGATCCGAATGGCCCTCTTAGAAAAATATCAGGCTCATAAAGGGACAGTGTGCCATCACTTCTGTTAAAGTCTTTGAGTCATGTCCTGGGAGGCTGGCACAGGGCAGAGGGAACGTGCTGCGTGACAGCGAATGCTTCACCATTTCATGGCACCCTGAATTAAAATACGCTCTCCGTGCAGGGGGAGGGGTGAAAGAGAAGAAGCTCAAATGGATATGACGGCCTCTGCTTCTCTGCAAACAAAACTGTGTAGGCTTGAAATCCTTATTTCCGTGTCCCACAGTCATTACATTCACTTGTAGTTGCAAAACGTGGCATGCGTGCGTCCGGTGTTCATTAAGAATAATTTAAAGAAATGAGGGTTCTACACAGTTTTGGGGCTTGTTTTACAGCTTTTTTAATTTTTTTTTTAATTTTATTTTTTTTATTTCTATGACAGTGCATTAGTTTCAGTTAGGAAGTGTTGCTCCCGAAGCTCTGCTTCAGAAATGCGAGCCAGGCCTTCCAAAGTGACCACTGAAAGCTATTTAAGAAAAGGGATAGGAGGGAGGGGGAAAGAGAAACAAGCAAGAAAAGAGGAAAAGAGACATTTCTCGGTCCATTTTGGGAAACACTGTAAGGAGTGAAAACCTTCACTTCTCCAGCACGGAGCGTGGAGCTCCAATCGATAAGGCGAATCTTCGAGCCGTCTAGTTCTATATTTCACTTGATTCTGTCACTCTTTCTGCCATCCCTGCGAACAAAAGGCCGCCTTCACGCCGAGCCCCGCACGCGGTCCTGGAGCCCTCCCCGCCCCGGCTGCGGGCAGCGCGCACTGAGCCGCGTTGCGCGGAGCTGCGGCGCCCTCTGATGGGCGCTCCCGACCCGGGGCTGAGATTTCCAAACGGCCGAAGCCTTTTCTCGGCTGGGAACGGTGATGCTCGTAGTGAAAAAAAAAAAAAAAAAAAAAAAAAAAAATAAAAAAAAAATAAAAAAATCCCTTTTAATTCCAGAAGTTATCCATATTGCGTATTTCATTCCAGTACTTCAAGGGAGGTTATAAACAGGAGGGGGACTGACTTTTCACGCGGTCTGGTAGTGATAGGACAAGGGGGAACGGCTTTGAACTAAAAGAGGAGAGATTTAGGTTAGATTTGAAGAGGAAACTCTTTACTTAGAGGGCTGTGAGGCGCTGGCACTGCTGCCCAGAGCTGTGGCTGCCCCATCCATGGAGGTGCCCAAGGCCATGGATGGGTCCTGGGCAGTCTGAACTGCTGGCGAGCACTCAGCCCACAGCAGGGGTTGGGGCTGGTCGGGCTTTAATGTCCCCTTTGACCCAAACCATTCTATGATTCTTTGATTCTAATATATGATTTTTCCAGGATTTTTCCTTATAAACTCTACCTGACTCTCCTCAAGATCCTACCTCACAGCTTTCAGTCATATTCAGCCTTCTAAAGTCAGTGTGTGCCTTTCTATCACAGTATATGCCCCCCTTTATGCAACCCCATAGAAAATCCCTATTATCGGTGGAGTTACAAATAAATCAATTTATCTCAGCGCCCTCTGCTGCTCATTGTGGGCTCTCCGGTAAAAAGCAGTTGCTGTCATTTCTAACTGAAACTTCAGTCCTTTCTGTACCTTTTCTTGTAAAGTAGATTTCTTTTTTTTTTTTTTTTCTTTTTTCCCTTGTCTCTTAATTTTCTGTATATTCCCATATTTCAGAATCTGCTATTTTTCGTTAAACAATCACTATGGAATCTTACTTCGGAAGCGAGAAAGATATATGACAACCAATATCTCAACATGTCTCTTAAAACTCAGTGCCTGCTCATTCATGGGTGCACCTTAACCCTTTTCTTCGTGAATAATAGCAAGTCTCATCTCTAAAATTAAGCCCAACTTCCCATTATTTTTGCTGATGAATCAGTTTTTCTACACGACATTCGCAGGCATAATAAGGACTTTCCTCCTTTCCTTCTGGCTTTCTAAAAACCACAGTGCTTGATTGTTTTGGAGACATATCCCAGCTGCTGCCTGTTCTCTGACAGACAAGAGCAGCACACTGGGAAAATGCAGCCACAAGTGCTGAGCCCATTTGAATGGATCCCAGAAATTTGCAGTGTTTAACAACCCTGTGGGTAAGAGATTGTTTTTTTTTTTTCCCATCAGTAGTGAACTCCCTGGAATCCCCTTTGCTACAAAGTGTTCCCAACCCTAAGTTCAGGAGGAAGATGTCACCGTGGGGCACCAGGTTGTGCTTCCTGCTCTCTTGGGGCTGCCAGTTCCCCATACTTCTGCTTACAACCAGGGAGGTCAGGGAGGAGACAGTAATACATTTGGAGATGTAGTCAGTGTACAGGAGGACATTTCTGCTGCCATCCCATCTTTGGGATTTTCCCTCTGCCTTTCTTCTCTGGATATGGGATGAGGATGCATTACAAGGGATGAACAATAGCAAGAAGCATAACAACCTAATGGCAATCCCAGTCCAACACCACAGATGGACATTGTGGATGTTCTCAGTATTTCCAGCTGAGAGATATGACACTTTTCTATTTACTTTTGACACCAATTACTAAATCTTCAAATAGACGGAGAAATGGAGAGAAGAAGGAACTTGAGAGAGTAGATGTGTAGAGAAGAATTTGAAACCAGAATCTCAACAATTTTGTATTTTATTATTTTTTGGGATGAATCCTCTGGATCATTCTGTAATCATGGTGAAAGACAGTGCAGACGTCGCTTGTCTATCTGTGGTGCTCACTTGGCTTCTGATGTAGTCTGTGAATTAGAGATCTTTATAAACAAGAAATGAGTTATACAGAATAAATGTCTCATTTCACAGTGGT